CCCCAAAACCCCAAAACCCCAAAACCCCTAATATTTTCATACAAAATGATTTTGTAATAATTTATCAGAAATGGAAGAAAATAAAACAAACGAGCAGAGCGAGTTATTCCACATTGATAAAACTTCAAATAAGGATTCTCTGAAAGTAGCAAGTCGAATTGAGAACAGAACAAATCAATTTTTAAACAACAAAGATGCTGATGGTCTTGGAATTAACAGAAGTGAGCACAATGAAGCGAGCAGGAAAGAGATCAAGAACAACAAGTTCGCAAAGAACAGAAATTATGAAGTCAATGATGAATCTGACATAACTAATACCAAAGGCACTCCTGCTGAGAAGATTGAGCACACTATTAATCAAGCACAATCATTGTGGGAAGAAGAAATGGACATTATGGACTATTATGAAATCTTGAAGAATATCAAGTTTGAGCTCCCTGATTTCCCACTTCTTCAAGAACTGATAAATTCTGACAAAGATCACAACATTTTATTAGCAGTAGTTGGGCTGAGGAAATTGCTATCAATTGTTGACAATCCTCCGATCCAGAATGTAATAGACACGGACGTGTTGTCTCAGCTAATTACTTTGGTTGGTAGGAATGATATTCCTAAAATCCAATTCGAAGCTTTGTGGGGTCTTACAAATATTGCTAGTGGTAAAGCTGAGCATGTACAGGCTCTCATTGACAAAGGCACTATTCCCATCTTTACCAACTTGCTTGGAACCATTCAGAAGAATGAATTAGGAGAAGAGATATTCCACTGTCCTCACCCAATGAATATTGTTGAGCAGAGTATCTGGGCTTTAGGAAATATTGCTGGTGAAGATACTTACTACAAAGCGATGATTCTTAAAGAAGGAGCTCTGAAGCCACTCGTGAATATTCTCAAGAATGCAGAACCAAACTCGATGATGACGAGGAATTGTATGTGGTGCATCACTAACTTGTTGAGAAACAAGCCTTTTCCAACAATTGAAGAGCTTGTATATATCATCCCAATCATCAGTGAGTGGTTGAAAAGTAACGAGAAAGAAGATATTGTTAGTGATTGTGTATGGGCTATTTCCTATATCTCAGATGCCGGAGAGCAGATAATTAATAAGATGATCGAGTTTGGAATTATGAGAACAATTATCCTTCACCTTAATTCTTGCAATGCTAAGATAATTGTTCCATTAGTGAGAACACTTGTCAACTTCATGACAGGAGACGATAAAGAGAATCAGGCTGTCATTGGTGCTCAGGTGTTGCCTCGTCTCCATGCTCTGCTATCTCATCCAGATAAAGTAATTGTAAAGAAAACTTGTTGGACATTATCTAACATTTGTGCTGGAACAATCAGCCAGATTTCATGATTGATAGAACTAGGAGTCATTGACAAGATGATTGACCTTTGCCATGATGATGACCATACCATTCAGAGAGAAGCTGGCCGGGCCATTTCTAACGCAACTACTTTGAGAGATCCCGACATCGTTTCAGAAATTGTAAAGAGAAAAGGAATCGAAGCTTTGTGTTATTTATTAAAAAATAAAACTGATATGCCAACTACATTTGTTCTTCTAGAAGGAATCAGAAATTGCCTTGATGTTGGCCAACAGAGTTTGACCAATGAGGAAGGAGAGAACCAATTTGCTTTAATTGTGGAGAATTGTGGAGGCCTAGATACGATTGAGAGCTTTTATACTCACGAAGATAGTAAACTTTACAAACTCTCAGAAGAGATTATTGATTCATACTTCCTAACAGAAGTTAATCTTGACGGAGAAGAAGATATGATTCAGCATTTCTAAATTTATTATTAACTAGATATTAATGAAAGCATAGAACGCCCATATCAATTTAACATTTCATTCAATTATATTCTTCACCCCAGGGGTTTTGGGGTTTTGGGGTTTTGGGGTTTTGGGGTTTTGGGGTTTTGGGG